CGAGGCGCCAAACGTCGGCCTTGACCCGGCGCCGTGGCCGATCACGGCGCCGTCGCCGACGGCCGCGGGGCCGTAGACGACCGCGCCGACGCCGACGGTCGCCTTGGCGCCGACGGCCGCGCCCCCCACGAGCGTCGCCGACGGCGCCACGCAGGCGCTCTCGGCGACGCAGGGGCTCTGCGCGTCGACGGGCACGGCCGTCGTGTGCCGCGAGACGTGGTCCCAGAAGCTCAGGTCGCCAACAAAGGCCTTGGACGTGCGCTCCATGGCCGTCCCCGTCTCGCGCAGGGCCTTGCCCAGGGAATGCTTCGCGAGGTTCGCGAGGGCGGACGCCATCGCGGGTGGCTGTGGAGCGTCGGTGTCGGCGCGGTGGGAGGCAGGCGCGCGCGAGAGGCTGCCAAAACTGAGCCACACCTCGTCTGTCGAGCAAGCCGAGGTCGATGTCGACGTCGCCGGCCCTCGGCTGGCTTGGCCGCGTTGGCGTCGACGTCGTCCGGCCCGCGACCCGACGACCCCTCCCCCCCATCACATCGCGTCCCTATCCCCTACTCCTTCGTGTCGGACTGGACGCCCGTCGGGCGCGCGTAGTGGCCCTTGGTCACCTCGAGGTGCTCGAGGAAGTGGCCGATGGTCGGCGTGGGCGCGGCGCCGTCGTCGGGCGGCGGCGCGTACTCCGCGCCCCCGACGTCGTCGAGGGAGCGGTGGCCGAGGGGCACGCGGTCCGCGGCCTTGAGCTCGACGGACTCGGCCGCGTGGCCCCGCTTCGCGTCGTCGTGCCAGCGGTCCCGGCGGTGGTCCCAGACGGGCGTGCGCGCGACCTGAGAGCAAAATGAGGAAGCGTCCAAAACAGGGGGCGCCGGCAGCCGCGCCGTCTTCCAGTCCTTGGTGTAGGCGCGGGCGAGGTAGTTGGCGGGCCGGCCCGGCGCGGGCGCCTTGACGCGGCGCACGCGCGACCGGCGCGGCCCGAAGTCGGCGCAGCGCAGCGGGTACCTGCGAACGGGGCCTCGGCGACACCAAAGGGGGGCGGCGCGGCGACGCGCAGCTCGTCGACGGCCCACCACTCGTTGGGCCAGGCCTCGCGCGCCGCGGCCTCGGCGTAGCGCACGTTGCCCGACGCCTCGTCGAATTCCATGGTCAGCAGGTCGACGAAGGGCCACCTACGCGTTCCATATGAAGCGACGGCGCATCGACCAAGCGCACCGGTCGCCCTTCCACATCTTGTAGCCGTAGAACGTCCGCTCGAAGGCCCAGCCCGCGTCGGGCAGGTGCGCCGCCAGCGCCTCGCCGAGCCGCGGCGCGTCGAGGGGGCCCACGGCGAGGTCGACCTGCGCGCGGTGCTCGGCCGCGCGGCGCCGGGAACGCGGCGCCGGGGGCCGCGCGTCGTCGTCCCAGGGGATGATGCCCCCGTGGCGGCACTGGCCGAACAGCGTGCCCGCGCAGAGCCAGTGCTCGACGTTGCAGACGTCGAGGAGGCACAGGGCCTCGTCGAGCCGCTCGTACATCTTCTCGCCGTCGCTGGCGTTGACGACGAAGCGCGCGAGCGTCGGGTGCAGCACCGGCGCCACGCAGCGCACGTCGCCGAAGCCCGCGGCGCGCTTGAGCAGGAGCATGTGCGCGTCGTCCTCCGGCGCCGGCGCGAGGTCGATGGGCGCCACGTCCTCGCGGCCGAGGATCTGCAGACTGGGCTCGGCGCTTGCGGCCATCGCACAATGGAGATGGGGGGGCAGCGTCCAAGCTTGCAGGCACTGTTGCGCTTCTGAGGCGAAGGAGCACCCGCACCGACGCGAGCCTGGCCGTGCGATTCCAGCTTGTGTCCGCCGCCCCTCCGCCCGCCCCGTCGACCCGCCGACGCCGCCTGTCGCGCATCCGCTCGTATCCGCCCGGAGGAAACGCGAGACCAAAAAATCTCGCTCGAGAACGCGCGGCACTCGACGAGCGGCCGCCGATTCCACGAGAACCGAAACGATGGCGACCATGGCCGCGGCGCCCACGGGCGACCACGTCGACGAGAACGACGCCTGGACCATCGCGTTCCGCGCTTTGAGCGCGTTCCCCGGGACGGCCTGCGCCATGCTCCGCGAGGCCGGGTTCACGGCCGACGACCTCCGGCGCCAGGCCTCCCACGAGCTCTGCAGCCGCGGCGACACGCTGCTGACGCGCGCGGCGAGATTGGGCCACATGGAGGCGGCGACGACGCTGTTGGACCTGGGCGCGGACCTGGAGTGGCCCACGCGCGCGACGGACCTGAGCCCTCTGCAGGTCGCGTGCCACTGCGGCCA